AAAAAAAAATCCTGAAAACTAAAAATGTGTTGGTGATTTAAAAAAAAATCAATTGTTTTTGCCTATGCGTGGCCATTCATGTTTTTTTTTTTTGTTTGTTTTTTATTGAGTCCCGATGTCCTCTTACGAGGACGTAGCATAACTTATGAATGAAATATCATTTAAAAAAACATTTTTACTTTTTTTTTAATGCTCTAAACAATGTAATGACATGAAAAAATACGAATTTTTTCCTAAAATGTTTTGCCGGGTCTTAAGAAGTTAACCATGATCAAATTCACACAAAACAAATTGATTTTCATTGGTGAGTTACTTGTGGTTCTTTTACACCATGCGGTGGGCAAAATAATAAGCCTGCAATATCAGATAACTCACTGTGATGATGAATTTAGTGATTTGTGAGTAATACTTTCCCCGATCTTGATCTTTAATGCGGTGTGGTAAGCCTGCAGTACTGCTTTCAGCCGTCTTGTCACTTTCCTAAGCTTGTCTGGATTGCTGGGGTTGTTTGTGCCTCTGAATGTCTGTGCAGCTATGCTCTGTAATGCACTGCGAATGTGTTTTAACAGCTGATGTCTTTGAGCTAAACTCCTCATATTTCCCTTGCTCTGATGCTGCTGTTACTTTTACTGTACATCAGCTCTGATCAATACAGTGACAGCATACTGTGCTCGGTTCCCCGAAATGAACTATTACATAGTGGTGACTTAATTTATCCCCAGACGAGTTGTTTACAAACTAGCACGCTTGAAAGACAGAAATAGCGAGCCATATCTTTTTAAAACTATTTCTGTTTTACAAATACAGAAATAAATGATTTAAAAATCATGAATTCAGACAATGTCTAATATTGTAATATTAATGAGCTTTTGTCATGTTGATGAAATCGCTGCCCCCTTTCAGATAATGAAACTAAAGCTGCACGTCTCTGGACCTACAAAGACTGTTTGGGTATCATAATACCACATTAAATAGGCCTTATAAAAGTTGGATTTCTGGGTATGTGCTCGTCCAGTGACAAACTATTTTGGTATTTATAGCTTCTAAAAACATTGTTCTTTTTTCTAAAGTCATCCCAGAATAATATGCGGAGTAATATTAATCAGTAATATTTATTGTGCTTATAACAAGTAAAGCTCCAGAAATGTTTATTTCCATCCTAGTCCTAGAACCAAAATTGTGCAGAAATTGTATTTGTGCAAGTTTTAATTGTGCAAGAAAATTGTAAATGATTGTTGGTAACCAGCATGTGTAAATGTTCTAGTCACTGAAACCTTTATGCAAATGAAGACACGCGTTACATAAAAAAAGCCATTTATTGAATAATTGATTGGACCGTAGAGATGTTGGCTGAGACGATGTTTCTCCTTTTGTGGAGGAGTCTCTAAATTATTTCCTAATACCAGCATAGATTTCGTACCATGTACAAGTTTCCATTGTAAGACAGTCGATCATATCAATATTTCTCATTGAGAAAACCTGTTTAATGCTTGTTACCTGCTTATGAAGTCACAAATCCAAACACCAAACTGGAGACAATGGAGTTGATACTTACGTGGCTCAAAACTGTTAAGACATTTGCCTCGTTTTGCTTTTCAAGTTGCTGAATTTGAACATCTGCGGTTGTCGGATGTTGTAAGAAGTCTTTTCACTTGTTTTTTCTCTTTGAAATGTTATGTGGGAACTGTTAATGTATTGTATGATTCTATATTCAATAATGTGTTGGGAAATCTTGCGCTAAGCATATATTTGTGTAAAAAAAAAAGTCTGCTACTTGTGTGAAGAACGAATACATGGTCCTGTTGGACTCTTGGACTGTTGGGAAGTAGATCTCTGCGGCCTGAGCTCCCTTTCCCAGATGAGAATCACTCTCTGGGAGTTTATTTCATAAAGGGATGGAGAGGCTTTTATTTTTCTGAACTGTCTAAATACTATATTATATGTACTGGGAAAAGACAAAACTATTTTTCATCTGCACATGCTACTTTGTTTGTGTATGTGATAGATATTAATCTTGTTTTCTAAAGACAAAAGCAACTCGGAACTAATATGAAAGTGAATAAAAGGCTATTTTGTTCTTTACATTGTTTAATATATTCATTTTGTTTATCTATCTAGCTATCATCTATTGGTGTGTCTATCTATCATTCCATATTGTTCGTTCTATCATTCAATTTTTTTATCTGTCTATTGTAATGCTTCTATCTTCAATATAGCATTCTATCATTCGTTCTATCTATTATTCTATCTGTCATTTGTTCTGTTACATTCTATAGTTCTATCTAGGGCTGCACGATGAATCGCATGCGATATTTAACGCGCATCTTGTCAGAAAGCTATCATTCTGTTCAACATTCTATCGTTTTATCTGTCTATCCATCTATCATTGTTTCTATATTGTATATCTGTCTATTGAGCAGATAAGTTTTACAATGTATTACTGTTTACAATTACTCACAAATGTATAAAACTAACACATTATAATTTTTGAATGTACACTCTAAAAAATGCTGGGTTAAATATAACCCATTTTTTAGAGTGTAAGTTGTTATTTTTTGTATATTGTCCTTTAAGTACAGTATTAGCTGTTTCACAACAGTTTAATGTCACTGGTCTTGTCAGACATACTATTTAATCTAAAATCGTTTTTGTGTGATACTAAAATAATTGCATTATCCAAAAAAAAGAAAGAAACAGCACCTGATCGAGCGAAGAGACCAAGATATCCATAAATAATCCCTCTTTTTTTATCAACCTCAAAAATGGGATGAAATAATACATGCCTCTCCTGGTGGGGGAATGTGAAAATTAGTAAAAAAAATAAAATATCCCAAAACAAATCCCTGAGGCACTCAGTTTTATATGTCATACCTCCTCCGGGACAGCAGCCCTTGGGGAGGAGAGCATAGATATTAATTAAATCCAGGCTAAGACTCAGGCACAGTAGGACCCCCACACAACACGCTGATTAACCAAACCCCACAATGCTCCTCAAACTGACTTTCATTTCTCCCGAAATGCAAACAGAAAGAATGATGAAAGCGTCAGGCTTCTTTTTAACGTGTTGACGATGTCTGCGCCATAAGCTACAGAGAGACAGAAGAGGAAAGAACTGTTGATATTACAAAGAGATGCAGACGAACCTGGAATAACCTTCTGAAGATAAAGCATGTTTTAGAAAGTTTGGCAGATAGAACTTTTAGGTCACAAACTGTGGCTATGTTCAGGACAGCAGAATACTTCTCACTCTATTTCTACAGCATGACCTACTAAAAACATCCATCCATAATATGTTAGCGTTGGGCTGGTGAGTTTTGCATCACAAGACACCATAAACTCAATAGAGTTCCAGTCAAATAAAAGTGTAGGACCAAAATCAAATTATTATTCTTTGTAAATTTCAAATAACAAAGCAGAGACTGTAGAATAAATGATATTTGAGAGCATAAGGCCTTGTTTTATTGTCCTGGTGCCTTGGGCGCAGCTGCAGATGGCACATAAGAGACCTGAGCATCGGGTCGCTGATTTTTATTGCGCTGAATAGACTTCAGTAGCTTCACGCTGCAGGTTTGCTTTAATTGCAACTCACCCAAGGTCCCACTGATGAAGATCTTTAGTCAGGCTCATTAACTTCCAATTAACGGTCTGTTTACACCACCACCTGTAAGGGGTTTTATGTCGGTTTATGTCTGTTCAACATGGATCCACATCTCCAGCAACAATAATCCTGTAGTTTAAATGAACATTCTCTAGGGTGGAAGTAAAAAATAAATAAAAATGCATTATGGCCTAACGCATATCAGGGGACTGAATACATGACTCCTCTGTTTGGTTTAACTGCTGATGTTTAGCTTTCAAGAACTGCTGTCAAAGCTGCAAACACAGCTCACTATCCTTGTGCATGTACAGGAAGGCCTGATAATTGGGTCGTTCTTAGGAAACGGTACCATTTGTGTTTAAAAATGGTTTTTTAGCATTTCATTTAAAAAGATTACTGTTCAGTAAAACTGTAAGGGCTGTAAGCATTGTAGACATCATTATATTGCATCCACCCCAATCTTTAGATTAGTGGTCAAAAGGTATCGAAATTAGAGGCAGTGTGTAATTTCTCCACCTCCTAGTGGCACTAAACAAAACTCTAAAAATATTGACTGTTTTCAAACAGGTTTCCCATTTCAGCTGACTTTTAATATTCAAAAACCTGATTTTGCGAAGTAGCTTGCTGTATTTTTCATTGCTTTAAGTCCAATCCTGTACTTCCGTGTGGTCAAAATTAACCTTAAACTTTGTGTCTTGTGATGTTTTAATATTGTGTATATAATCATTTCAGTGTAATTTTAATAAATGGTGACCTGGAAATTTTATGACATTCTTAAGAAAAACAAACACTAATGTTTTATTTTACATTTTATTTCCATTAAACACTATGCAGTGTCAAATGCATCAAACAATGGGGCTCTTTCTCAGAAGTGGGATATTTAAACTTCTACAGAGAGACAGAAAAGGAAAGTACTGTTGCTATTGCGAAGAGATGCAGACGAGATGAACCTGGAATAACCTTCTGAA